CAAACATGACCCGCCTAGATTAGCTCAGCTATCTGCGGGCATGTTATAATTGTAATTTTAATTTGATAACAAATAAAATGTATGTATGTATGTATGTAAAAACTTTTAAACATATTTTACATAAGCACATTTTCTAACTTGTATGGTGATTGTATATAGATTAATATAGTATGTATATAAATATATTCTTATCAAAATATTTTTATTGCTTGTAGTAGTTAAGTTTAGTTTTATTGTTTCCATTTTTTAGCACGCACCTGTTTTAACAAGTTTTTATTCCTCCTAAATGCTGCATGGGTAAATAAAGGATTGTATTGTATTGTGTTGTCTATAGACAGGGCTTTTGAGTGTCACTCTTCTCACAAAAGTATTCTTCACTTATTCTGACAATAGAACGTATTGATTGGTGTCCGTATCTATCATACTGATAATAGGAGATACAAGATATTGATTCTCTTGCATGCAAGAGACCAATATGGTAGAAGCCATCCCTCAGGTTCATGTGTACAATTAGAAGTACCATCCATTCAGAGCTTAGTACATGCACTCACTCGGTGACAATTTTGCATTCAGCAGTGAACAGAGTGAGAGAACACAAATGCTCTTGTAAACAATGCTACTCGAATCAACTTCAATAATTACTACAGCTTTCACTTTCATCTATTGGTCAGTTTAAATAAGCTATGTTTTCATGATGAAATATATATCAGTATGTGATTACAGTTTCATGATATTTCTTTGAGACATGCATCTATTAGCATGCACATATCACACATGCTAGTTTAAGAACTGCTGCGCACTGCAAATGATCAACACTTGTAGCAGCACATCTGGCTACAGCCTGACTTACGATCTTAGATCATCTTGATTTCAGTTGAATCACACCCACTCACTCACACACGCTTAAGATGCACATACTAATTAAACTTTTGTGCATTTGAATTGTGGCGATCACTTATCTGTACCATCTACCTATAAAACAACATCTGAAGTGATTATTCCACATACACTGCACACACATTACTTTATTACCTTGTAGTTTACTTGTGGAGAATAGAGCTACCTTCACTGGTAGTTTACGAACATGTTTAACAACGCATCTATCCAAAATAAGACTCTGAAAATGCAAAAAGATAACAAACAGGAATATGATCCTTCAAAAGAGCAAACTAGTTGTCTAGAAAATCTATATTCATTGTCTAAGTCAGCAAAGGAAATGCTGTTAGGATCTCTTAGGGTGAAATGGCCACTAACTCACATCAAGTATATCTTGTAATGCCACTGGTCGTAAGGCTTCAAAGAAATGCTTAGAAACCTGGCTCTGAAAAGAAAAAAAAACCACATTTGACAAAGATATGTAGCCACTGTATGCAGCTGTCCTTATTATATTTGATTGACAGCAATAACTTTACCACTGGGTATATATCTGGGTAAAAATAAGTTTCTAAACCAACTTTTTCATTCAGAATTATTCATAAGACAAAAACAAAATTACGCCTGTTTAACCACTCTAAAAGTATAACAACAAAATAATTGAATTGGTATCTAAACTAGCTTTGGGAATGTGCAATAAACTGCTTGATCAATATTTTAGATATAAGAGTGGATTTTTGAAAATGATGTTAAAGTGAGATGCTTTCCTTTGGACTGAGTGATCAGCAACATTGATTTTTACTCAAAGACATGAATAACACCTCTGGATGACTAAAATGATCACAACAGCAATTACTAATAAAGTGGCATATCTTGTATACCCATGACATCCTGGGCAAGACATAAATAAGTAGGCCTGTGTACCAACAAACAAACAAATTAACGCACAGACTCGCCCATCCATTTACTACTCATGAGGAATAATAACACAAAAGAATTAACTTTTAATCCATTATACTTCCATCTTGAGCACATTTTGTGAGCAGATTTTTTGAGTACTGCTCTCAATAGTTTATGCACATAACAAGATAATAAGAAATAATTTACTAAGAATTATTTTATGTCCTGACTTCCTTACTAACATAAATGTGTAAAAACAGGGAATTTTTGTTTTACCTGTGAAATCCCAGGATTGCCTAGAATCAACATAAGAACCATCTCTCGGAACATTCGCAGCAGCTGCTGACTAGTTTCACCATCAATCGTGACCCAAGGACGACAAATTACAGAATACTGCTCATAATTCCTGGCCAAAATTTATGATTTTCAAATAAATATGAGTGAATGAACAAGTTAATAATACCATTTTATCATTACAAAATATATAGACAAAACTTGTAAATTTATTTTTAAACACTAATAATTATTATAATTAAACCAAATTTACTGTGCTTGTATTTTGATGGGCCATACCCTAGAGGAAATAAAATATACTTATTTAGGATGGTTTGATAAACTGAGGAGTAATTTCCCCAAATGCATGTTTAAATAAAAACAAACAAAGAACTATAAATATAACAGAAGGAATTAATAATGAGTTGTTCATTTCATACCTAACTTTGTATTTCTTCGTTCCCCTTTCTGAGGTTTTCACCTCATTATCAGGTGAGTCATGAGCTGGCTCAGGGGAACAACTTTTTTGACCAGTTGTTTCTACTCCACTTGTAACTATGTTTCCAAGGAGACTCATATCCACTTCATACAGAAGTGAAGAGGCAGTCTGATCGGCCACTTGTGTGATGGTAGAACCAGTCTGGTTTGTCTGTGTGGTTGAAGAATTCTCATTGTAGATTTCTGCTATTTCTGATGCATTTTGTGCTTTCTCACTTTGTTCTTGTTGTTTTAATGAGTTACTCATGACCACTGGCAAAGAATCACGAGCCAGTGAAACATTCCTGTCAGTGTCAGGTGCATTTTGTTGAAATGGATGAGAATCATCCTTTGGCTGAAATATAACATTAAGGCTACTTTAATTTTATACATCAAGTACCTCTAAAAGGATAACAAGAATACTACCTGGGACAGTTCCTGAGGGGTGGGGCTATTCCTTTACATGGTCTTTACAGAAACATGCCACTGGACAGGGTATTTTTTTTTTTTGGTACAAGGTATATTTTTTTGTCTGGTTGCCCTGAACTGTCAGGTCTGGCCTAATCAAGGCCTGAACTAAACCTTATCAGGGCACATGTACATGTACGTTTGCACAATTGCAAAATATTGTCAAATATGGTTAATACAGGACCTGGAAATCCAAGATTGGGGATGTTGATTATAGTGATAATTAGTAGGTCATTAGTCAATATCAGATAATTTTCAGAACAAAACAAAGTTATTATTAATTCTACAGTTCTTTGCACTAAACAAGGCTCTACAGGGTGTTGTCCTGCACATATATAGACTGTTTATTCAAGGTTTTCTTTCTCCAATGCAATGCCAGGGTTTCAAACCCCTAATGACATCCCTATACATAAACATGAGTCAATTCTTGTCCCCCAAGGGACAGGTATCAACTAAATTTAAAAGTGTGGACAATATCAGTGATTGTCAAAACATCATAGTGCTGCTTTTAAAGAAAGTTGTGAGTTGGAATCAAAGGACTGTCATCAATTAATATGATATTGAAACAAAAGACAAATTTTATTACCAAAAGTGTACACATACCTTGAGTAATGTCACACACCAGGGTTTGACAAAGCTGGCAGTTACAAGACAACAGGTAAATGAACCAACTTTATAAAGCTAAAATGATAACAAAGACAGTAACAAGATATCAAAACAACTTCAGTAAAAAATCATACCAACTTTGCAAGTCACAGTATTTGCAAAAACTCTCGCGTGTTTCCTCAGGCAACATACAGTACAGCCCAAAAATAATGCATGTGCAAGAACTTCTTTTTGCGTCCACAAGCTGGCAACTTCTTGCGGCTTCTTGTGGGTCACTTGCGCTTCGATCCTGCAAGACGCAAGAACTTCTTTGTGGTTAGAAGTTAAAACCGCAAGAACTTCTTTGCGGTTGGATTTTCGAAATGCGAGGACTTCTTTGCGGTAGGATTTTCAAACCGCAAGAACTTCTTTGCGATAACATCTTAGCACGTAAAAAACCGTATCAAGACAGTACCGTCTTAGTGACGGGTTCTAAAAAAACACAACTAACAAACACGACTAAAAAAAAAACAGAACTAGCGCCGGCACTTACCGTAAGAAATATTAAAGTGAGACACACAGAGAGTACTGGTTCTGACACAGCTTATATCCATATATGTTTTTCTGCTGCTGAAACGGCTCCCACCATTTTAAGCTTCGCGCAGGGCTCAGCTTAAAACGGTGGGAGTCGTTTCAGCAGCAGAAAAACAGATATGGATACAAGCTGTGTCCAGAACCAGTACTCNAGTAATGAAGAAATATCTAAAATTGAGAAAACACGCCTTTAAAACATCTACAAGTTTCTCTAGTCCCTGAAGGACAAGTTATTGTTCAACAAACGCCTCGTCTTTCCCAATGAACTCATCCATGGCACTTTCGAAAACATATGTGTCAAATGCCCGGGGTCGCCCCGGGGTATGTAAATGCTCAGCCTGACAAGGTGAGCAAATGCCCCGTGGTTGCCCAGGGGGGGAAGGGCACTGCTGGAATTGACTGATGCATTACTACGTATACGGCTACCGTTACATAAGAGATCTTGGGAAGTTTCTTAATGATGTGACTAATATGTGACCTCTCACGCGAAAACGTACACCACGGCTATCCGTTCAAACGCCTAAAAACTGTTCGCTTGCCATTTGCCATCCGTTTGTCATCCGTTCGTAATCGATGGGATGCCGTTCGAATGGATTGGATCATCCGTTGAGAAAAATTTCTAGCTGTTCGAACGGCTGCTGCTATTTGTTCTAAAAAAGTTTTCATCCGTTCGAATAAAATCTTAATCCGTTCAAAAAAAATCTTCATCCGTTCGAATGGCTGAGGTTATCCGTTTGAACGGCTGCTGCTATCCATTCACAAAACCAATCAGCTGTTTGATTGGCCAACGGCATCTGATGGGATTCAGGTTTTCAAACGGCTGGGATTGTCTGCTCAGAGGGAACTTTATACAGCCACGCGAATGGGTATGTTTGTTTAAAACAAACATTCAACCTTTCTGATTCAAACGGCCACATTTGTCCATTTTGAAAGAGGAACTGGATTTAAAATCACGTTTCAAGTAATCAATACTTTGAACAGATATCATATCGACTCATGTTATGCCGTGTTACAATTGTTTGACGGTTCTATTCTGTTACAAGCTTTTGGTGTCCATTTCTAAGTTTTGTCAAGTTTTGAAAGCAGAATTAAAAAAGTGTGTAATAAAAATTGCAGCAATAGACCTATGAAAGGGAAGCAAAAACACATCCTTTATCAAAACATCAAGATCTCCTGCATTTAGCTGCTGAGCCGTTTATAACCATTCGTTCAACACGAACCGTTTTCCTCCGCCGTTCAAACGTCTGGAATCATATGTTCCAAATGTTTCTTTAGCAGTTCAAATGCCTGGCGTCACCTGTTCGAAATTTTTTGTTAGCCATTTGAATGGCTGGCATCATCCATTCGAAATTTTTCGTTAGCTGTTTGAATGGCTAGCATCACCCATTCGAAATTTTTTGTTCGCTGTTTGAAGGGCTGGCATCACCTGTTTGAAAATTTTCATTCGCCATTCAAACGGCTGGCGCCATCTGTTTGAAATTTTTCCTGTGCCGTTCGAACAGCAGGCATCATCCGTTTGAAATTTTTCCAGTGCCATTCGAACGTTTACAGCAACCATTTGAAGTTTTTCCGTGGCCGTTCAAATGGTATTTGGAACCGTTTTGAAAGGCTAGAACATCCGTTTCTCATCCGTTCGTTAGCCGTTCACCTGCCGTTCGTTTCGACCCTTTAACGGTTATCCGTTAGTGACGTTTTCGTGTGAGAGGTCACATATAAGTTCTAAAGTGCAAGCCATATGAAGTCTAAACGCCGTTAAAGTCATCCTTGGAGAGAGTTTTGACCAGTTTTCGTTAGCGAATAAATCAGATTTTATCACTGACATTGGGAAGATTTTGGTCATGTGCTAAGCAACCTGTGAATCAAGAGTGTCTCAAAATAACTTTACAGATTGAGACAGAAATAAGGTCTTTGGCTTTTTGTTGGTTTACAATTATTTTCATCAGTTTAGTAACAGTACATTTTTTATTGGTTGGTTCTGAATTAGATGCTGGGTTCACTTTGTTTTGCTTTTTTGCGACATGGAGGAAATTTTACTGTTTACAATTATTATTACGATGTGTCCCGGAGACCCATACCCGCGGTGTGATAGCGGTGCGAAATAGACCATTTTACAGTTTCTGCTCAGTGACCTCACCTTTGTATGGCAGTGAGGCTAGAGTTGACCTTGTTTTGATACAGACCTCACTGCTTTTGTTGTGTAAAACAAGTTGTTCTGATGCTAACTAGGTGCATTTACATGACAAAAGCTTTGAGGTCTGTATCAAAACAAGGTCAACTCTAGCCTCACTGCCATACAAAGGCCAGATCACTGAGCAGACAACTCTAAAATGGTCTATTAGCCTATTTGAAATTGCTTTTTCTGTCTGGAACAAAGGTTAAAAAAACACATTTATTGGGAAGTAGCTTCTAAGTGCAACCCAAATTTTGAAACAAGCAAGTTTCTCAGTCAGCGAAAACAAGCACAGGACTACATGCATGCATGACAAAAGCGTGACTTTTCATGCATCAGTAATGTTTGAAGACTTTATGCAAATTCAAGGCGTCACAACAACATGATTGTTATCAGTGCATGCTGTCTTAAAAGATTTTGTTCAATGGGATTCTCTTCGAAATAAGAGGAGTGCACAAGGCAAACTCATGAGATTTCGCTGTTCAGAAGATCACTTATGTCCTTATCACAACCATAGTTATACCGGTATTGTTTTACTGCATTGCAAACAGGGTAGACTTTACGAAGTTCACTCCATAGCCAACTTTCAAGATTCTTTGACTACTGTTTGTTTAGAAACACACAATAAATTTTCTGCAAGAGCTTTTCGCCTGTAATACTAACTCTGCGAAAAGTTCTTAAAGAAATTTACAACATCGTAGTGCACACGCAGTCTTTGCGGTTCAGTGTGAGATTTGGATGAAAGTTGTCTTCGCTCACATATCCGCAAGAAGAATACAACAATAATTCTGAATGATAATGAATTTTGCATTGAGAAGCAAAAAGCATTGGAACCCAGACTAACTACATCATAGTTCGATTTTTCTACATGGACTGTTTCTTTGTGAGCTTCATTATCTGGAGACATTTTGTGATTTTTGCTTAATCTGCCAGCAGAATGTTCCAGTGATCGAAGGGCTTTTTTCCCGTAGGTGTCATGAACACGCAAGTATGTAATAAGTGAGTGCGCTCGATATTATTCCCACAGTATAAGCAAACATAAATCCAGATCTGATCTCAGCTGTTGGAAATATATCTCTTCCCACAGCAATGACTTATCTTATGGATAACATTGTGAGTGAATGCTGAGCATTTTGACCACCAACATGGCACCTATAAACGAACAGACTGTTTGATCTGTGACAACTTCTTACGCCTTCTTGTGGCTTGCGGTAAGATTCATAAGTTCTTGCGGCTTCTTGCGGCTTCTTGTGGTTAGACTTTGAACTTCTTGCATTTTGAATGTTCTTGCGGGTAAACCGCAAAAACATGACATTTTTACTTCTTGCGGGGGTTTGCGTGTTCTTGCGGCGCAAGAACTTCTTGCACCACTTCTTGCGTGTGCATTATTTTTGGGCTGTACTGTACTTGGTTACAGTCTATAAATTTCAAGTGTTTCTTAGAAACGTCAGTTAGAGTATTAATCAAACTTCTTCAGTTGAAATATATTTATGTTTAAGTGGCTATGACATGTTTAAATTTGTTGTCAATGTAAGTATTACGCTTTAAATATAGAGATATATGTTCACAGTATTTGCCTTATTATCATAAGCACTTAAGCTTGCAATCAAGCTACAAAAATATCAACTCTTAAAAGCATAGCAGGATTGATTCTTCTAAGAACTTTGTGCCAGGATAGATTAAATACTGTTTGGGTGATCCAGGTTTTAACTCACAATTTTACCAAGAATATGTGGGTTCATTGGCACTTTTCACAGCCAGAAATTTTGCAGTTTTTGAAAGTAGACATTTCTTTCAACATTTCACCCAAAGAGCTAAACAATTCATCAACAACAAGTTTCTCAAGTGCTTAGAATCAATTCCCATTTAGTTCAATGCCTTCTCTATGCAAAGTTGTATGCTACTGAAACAAAATGTGAACACTGACATTGACAAAGATTCCCTAGTATTTCTCATTAACTGGAGTATTACACTTCTTACTATTGTGTAGTTCCAGAAAATATACATACCCACCACAAGGAAGGTTAATGGAAATTCCAAGGGGGAGGGGGGGTTCAAAAGCTCATTTTTTTAAAGGAAAGTATGACACTAAAATGGAATTTCCTGAGGGGTGGGGTGGGGGATTTCAAGCTAAAAAACATTCCATGGGAGGGGTATGGATATTTTCTGGAACAACACATTATACATTGAATTCCTCTTTAAGACACTTTGATAAAGTTCATTATTAAATTGCTATCATTTATCAACTTTCTATTTTTACTATTAGTAGTAAATTATGATGATGATGATGATAATAATGATGATGATGATGATGATGATGATGACTAGTGGTCAGGACTTACCTTTACAGGAGAAACTATGAGTGATTCAGGCATAGTGTACATAACTTATCCATAGTTTGATCTTTCTACTTGAATGTACTATTGTACTTACTACTTTGGCTTTACACATGAACCTCAATTGCTGTTCAAGGGAAAATTGTGATAAACTCAGTTCATGCTTGTGGCTCTCAGGAATCCTCTCCTGCAACACAATTATAAGAAAACAAAATTGAAAATTGTGTTGAAATAATTAATATTAATAACTGTGTTGTCAATCCTTTTTACTGCTAGCATTTCATTTTAACCCACATGCTCATTATGAAAGTTAACAAACTAATGACATGCAACCCACTCTGAGAAGCACGCCGCAAGAAATCTATCATTTACTGTTAATGGTCTATTAAAAATGGAGGACTCTTTGCCATCCTTTATTGAAAATTACTTTAGGAGTCAAAAACCTGTGAACCATTTGATTTGAATCTGACAGTTCAATTGTGTACTGACCAATCACAATAAGTTATGGACACATGAGCAAAACTCAAAACCACAAACAAAATTACTGTTGCAGTTTGCAGTTAAGTTTTCTCAACTTTAATTGGCTTTTTCCTTGCAACACAACAACATTCCATAAATATTTCTGGTGGTCACAGTTTTCTGAGTTTCTCACTCAGTAAGATCTTACACATAACTAGTGAGACAATCTCAGATAATGTAGAGTGTAATTTGTGGCTCTGATACAGTAGTCACACAGGTCCTCACCCCCTGCCGTTCTCTCCTTTGGTAGTCAACTACAGTGTAGGCCTTTTGCCCTTGATAAGACATAATCTTAGCAGTGTGTATGTTTCCTGTTTGTATTTCCTTTCCAGGCCCAAAAATAATATACAATTATGGTTTTTCAAGACAGTTTTAAATTTTATTGTGGTGTTCATTTTAAATTCAATAATACGCAGAAGTAGCAAATGTGACAATTTAATTTTCAGGCTAATGTTTGTAGTTGGATACTTTTGTTTTCCTTGCCAAGGTATGCAACAAGATACCCTTGTTTCTTTGAAAATATAAGAAAGATGTGTATTTTTTTTACTCACTGCTGGAGATAAATGGAATAAACTTAAATATCTGATGCAAAATTGAAGAGGAACGATTTTGTTTTATTCAAAATGCAAATTTTCATTTCACCGATAAACAAGAACTAATCTAATTATCAAATAGCCACGTTGAGTCACAGAATAGTGCATTCTTATTCTGTTGCCAGCTTTGGTGTTAACAATAATATAATGATAATACAACTGAGAAGCGTTTCAATGAGACATATTGAACATACAGATTGTTACTAGACCAAAATTATATCCTTCATAGGTGAACAAGTCACCTCAAAGACTGATGAAATTAATTGGCAGTTTCAGTAACTGCCTGATGGAGTCTGCAGCAATATAACAAAGTTTCTTTTGTCACAAATTTACAATCCCCAGCCAAAACAAGAGTGTGGTATTACTCGAGAGTGGAGTTTATCACACTAGCAATGCTAGAACACATGAGTCTTACATGTTGTGTTCTACCACAAAGAAAAGCACTTAACGTTCATGTGCAATCCTATGTGAAATGTACCTTTCACCTAACATATAGTTGACATTGATCCTAACTAATCTGCGCATGTGTTTTGAGCAAATTGCTTTTGTTCTTAAGAGAATAGCACCACAAGGATAGCAAGAGATTTGCAAAAACATATATTAATGTCACAGTCTTCATATTATACATGCAAACACAAGCAAAACACGCGAGTTGGGCTACGAAAGACAGTTTAATAGGACAACCTATATACTGCCCGGGACAGGTGGGGATGGGTAAAATACAACTGTACGAGTTGCTGATCGCGTGACCTCGAGAAGAATATGATACGCGTAAAAATAGGTGTGGCCGCAATAAGATCTAAGAATACAATCCATTAAACCTAATTAACTAATATTAATTTGTCCTTAATGTCACAGTCTTTATGTTATACATGCAAATGCAAACAAACCATGCGAGTTGGGTTACGAAAGACAGTTTAATAGGACAACCTATATACTGCCCAAAGAGAAGGTTGGCCCAAACTAATAACAAAGTTAATTAAGGCAAGTAAGTAGGACTTGCATACACATAGGGAACATTTGGCGGTTTAGCCAGAGTTTCTGAAATCAAAATGACAGAGTTCAGTGGAGTACGAATATAATGTTGATAACAGTCCGAGGACCAGCGCCCAATGGTTTTGATGAGATGGTCTGGAAGGCCAACGTTGGCAGTGGAAGTGGCACCCCCAATTCGGAAGCTGTGTCCACCAAAGAGGGTGGGGTCGATTCCCAACAGGCGAAGACGTGAAGAAGAGAATGATAAGAGACCTGGGTGGGTTAGGGGGAGCCGTCTTGTAGTGCAAACAGAGGGGTGGTATTGTAGTCATGTGAGTTTGGGTTATGATGGCATATTAGCGTTTGAAGGTAGCAGACAGGGCAGATGTCACTTTAGCTGTGTACGGAGAAGAGAGTGTGCGATCTCTGAAACTGAGCCGTCTTAGAAGTTTTAAGCCTGAAGGTGATAAACTTGGTACTGTCCGGCGAGGTACGAAATCGAACATCGAGGGAAATGAATTGCTTCATGTCGCCGAGCAGTTCGATGGTGATGGCTAGCTTTTGCTTTGCTGTGATCCCGTGTCATCTGTTTATTCCTCGGACAGTCTGATGAAGTCGCAGTGTGTAGTCGACTGGGTTGGGATAGCTGTGGGCACTTTGAAGGGTGTGTATGGCAGAGAGATACACGGGTACAGATTGCGGTTGAATTCTGCTCGCTAACTCGGTGATGAAAAGCATCAGCATCTGCTCAGAGGCTGGGAACGGAGCAAGGTCCAGCAGGGAACAAAAGGCGAGGTACTGGCGTTAAGTGGCGCTGTAAGTTCGTTGCGTGGAGTCGGCAAGGCGTGGGTGAAATACTACCTTGCTTTCACTTGAAGTGTTTCCAGTTGATGACTGGTATGGGTGTAGGCGAATAGGGACCTGGCATGCTTTAAACGTACTAAAGAACCAGGCACCATTAAAAAACGCGCCAAAGGAGTGTTTGCAGGCGTCAGTGAACAGGTGACAAGATAGGTTGGAGGACCAGAAATCATCGTAGAAGAGCGACTTGCCATTCCACTGAAGAAGGAAGGTAGACCACCAACGGATATCCTGTTTGCTCTGACAGGTGAGATGCATGTGGTGTGACAGAGAGCAGTGCTTGCTGAGAAGATCGACGAGACGACGCATGAAAGTGCGACCCGGGCGACACACATTGCAGATAAAGTTCAGGCTGCCTAGAAGCGATTGAAGCTGGTGTTTAGTGCAATGAGACCGACCCTCCCATGCGGCCAGGAGAGCAAGGGTATCATTTAGACGTGATGCCTCGATCTGTGTCTCTTGACGAACGGAGTCAATTTCTATGCCCAGTAAGGTAAGGCAAGTCGACGGGTGCACAAGTTTAGAAGGGTTAAGGGTAAAGCCGAGGTCAACGCAAGTTTGTGTCATAATGTCCAGGTTTCGAGCACATGGCGAGGTGGCGGAGTCGCATGTGAAAAAGTCATCCATATAGTTCCAGACAGGATCCGCCCCTCAGTGATGCATAATGAAATTGAGGGCGTCAGCATAGCAGAGAAATTGAGCGGGTGCACTGTGAGTGCCGAATGGGAGGAATAGGTTGACAAAATAGCCGGTTGTCAGTTCACCACTGACGTAGATTGGCCAGGTGGAGCCGAGGAGCTCCCAGTCCTCTGGGCGGACCAAGATATGCCGGTAGGCATCCGATAAATCTAGTTTAGCCATCATGGCTCCGTGGCCAGCTTGCTTGAGGAGTGAGATGGCCTGTTCGCGAGTGTTCTGTTCCGCTGGGATAAAATCGTTAACAGAATGGCCCCATGGCCATGAGAGGTCGTGGATGTCCCGGTATTTCAGAGGATTCGAATGCTTTTTGGGTACCACACCCATTGGTGATCCGACAAAGTTGCGAGTTGGAGGAGAAAGGAATGGACCGGCCATGCGATTGAGGTTGAGTTCCCGGTGTAATTCTTTGATAATGAGTTTGCTGGCATCCAGTGCAGAGAGGTGATTGGGGTAGGATTGAAGTATTGTTGGTCCACTGTAGCCAAGTTCTACCCCGTGTGTGATGTCGTGAAGGAGTGCCTCAACAAAGGCGTTGTCCAGATGGTTGACGAGTGCTGCACTCCACTTGGCTACAGAGAATGGGGACCAGGGTTCGGGCAGCTTGTGTGCAATCTGCCAGGGCGTGGTGCCCTCAGCAGGCTTTGCATACGTGTGCCTGTTTGCACCCTGTACCCAGATTGCAGGTGTGCCATTGGAACAGGTTGCACCCTTTGCAGTTGTCGTGGAACCACTTTTCCAGCTTCCATGGTTGAGCAGGACAATAGGTTCCTTGTGGGTTTGAAGGGCTCTTTTTCTGCGTTGGCGTCTCCAACGTGGAGGCCGAGAGAAAGGGACATTCCCTGGTCTCGTGATCAAAAGATTTACGACGGCAACATTGCTTGGCATCCTTCCTTAGGGCAGTGGCATCAAGTGTGGTCGAGAATATCGAAGCGCTGGCCCCCTACTCTAGCGGATTCCTGCCGAAAACGGATATCGTAGGCGTAGACCGCTGACCAGATAAATTTTCGATTTGCTTGGTGAATAACGCAATGATTTTGGCCATTTTGCCGTAGCGGTGAGGATTAGCAAGCACAATTATTTGTTCGTATTCCGACCAGGCCGAAAGCCATGTGGAAAAGGAGTCGATTGCACATTGGGAGCGCGATTTCTGTAAGGTTAAATTCCCCTCTTGGTCGACTACTACCGCGTCTTCTCCGTGAGCTACATGTTCTTTGTGTGGTTTAAGTAAGTCAATGAAATTGACATACTCACTGCAAAGAATTGACTGTTCCAGCTTGGTCGGCTGATGTGAAATATCTTTGCCGGGGAGCGATGGGTCCTTGAGCATGCTGGATTGCAGCGTCCAACTTGGCTGAATGCAAGCAGTGGTGCCCTGCAGTGTGTTTTTCATTTGCTGTACCTCCGTATTCATTCACTGTTGATCCATTGCAAGTTTGTCAACTTGTAGGGCTAGATTGCTGATTGCGGCGAGAACTGAGTCCAGGGAAGCGGGCAAAGCTGTGGTGTTCGGAACAGCAGACTTGGGATGTTCATTGTCTGC